TAATGACGATATATTACAGCTAAAACATCAATAAGTGAAAATTGTACATTCTACCAGCTGGGGATTCCAGTTACACCAACTATACTGCAGCCTTAACATTCTTATACAGCTGAATCTGGGATTCCAGTTACACCAACTATACTGCAGCCTTTACATCCTTATACAGCTGAATCTGGGATTCCAGTTACACCAACTATACTGCAGCCTTAACATCCTTATACAGCTGAATCTGGGATTCCAGTTACACAAACTATACTGCAGCCTTTACATCCTTATACAGCTGAATCTGGGATTCCAGTTACACCAACTATACTGCAGCCTTAACATCCTTATACAGCTGAATCTGGGATTCCAGTTACACCAACTATACTGCAGCCTTTACATCCTTATACAGCTGAATCTGGGATTCCAGTTACACCAACTATACTGCAGCCTTTACATCCTTATACAGCTGAATCTGGGATTCCAGTTACACCAACTATACTGCAGCCTTTACATCCTTATACAGCTGAATCTGGGATTCCAGTTACACCAACTATACTGCAGCCTTTACATCCTTATACAGCTGAATCTGGGATTCCAGTTACACCAACTATACTGCTGCCTTTACATCCTTATACAGCTGAATCTGGGATTCCAGTTACACCAACTATACTGCAGCCTTTACATCCTTATACAGCTGAATCTGGGATTCCAGTTACACCAACTATACTGCAGCCTTTACATCCTTATACAGCTGAATCTGGGATTCCAGTTACACCAACTATACTGCAGCCTTTACATCCTTATACAGCTGAATCTGGGATTCCAGTTACACCAACTATACTGCAGCCTTTACATCCTTATACAGCTGAATCTGGGATTCCAGTTACACCAACTATGCAGCAGCCTTTACATCCTTATACAGCTGATTCCAGTTACACCAACTATACTGCAGCCTTTACATCCTTATACAGCTGAATCTGGGATTCCAGTTACACCAACTATACTGCAGCCTTTACATCCTTATACAGCTGAATCTGGGATTCCAGTTACACCAACTATACTGCAGCCTTTACATCCTTATACAGCTGAATCTGGGATTCCAGTTACACCAACTATACTGCAGCCTTTACATCCTTATACAGCTGAATCTGGGATTCCAGTTACACCAACTATACTGCAGCCTTTACATCCTTATACAGCTGAATCTGGGATTCCAGTTACACCAACTATACTGCAGCCTTTACATCCTTATACAGCTGAATCTGGGATTCCAGTTACACCAACTATACTGCAGCCTTTACATCCTTATACAGCTGAATCTGGGATTCCAGTTACACCAACTATACTGCAGCCTTTACATCCTTATACAGCTGAATCTGGGATTCCAGTTACACCAACTATACTGCAGCCTTTACATCCTTATACAGCTGAATCTGGGCGCAGTATCAACACATCACAATGCTATACTCTACACTTTGATAAATACATTACTCATAAAAACAAGGTCACAGTGACCTGATTTTCATCAATCAATAGTCAAAACAAGTGTATTGATCATGTCAACAAAACGAGCCACCCACGTAGCAGATACTGTGTTGTATAAGCAGACTGAAACAGATGTTGAACATTTCTGTTGGTGTGTAAATTAAACATACTCCACGGGCTGATTGGTCAGTGAGAAGTGTTTTCTGATTGCCACTACCTGTGCACATTGATTCAGTTATGTTATAACATGATATAAAGCAGGAAACGTGTGACACTGTCACAGAAACTGGTGTTCTCTATAAGTTCCAGTTATGTTATAACACAATATAAAGCAGGAAACGTGTGACACTGTCACAGAAACTGGTGTTCCTCTATAAGTTCCAGTTCTGTTATAACACAATATAAAGCAGGAAACGTGTGACACTGTCACAGAAACTGGTGTTCCTCTATAAGTTCCAGTTATGTTATAACACAATATAAAGCAGAAACATGTGTGACACTGTCACAGAAACTGGTGTTCCTCTATAAGTTCCAGTTATGTTATAACACAATACAAAGCAGGAAACGTGTGACACTGTCACAGAAACTGGTGTTCCTCTATAAGTTCCAGTTCTGTTATAACACAATATAAAGCAGGAAACATGTGTGACACTGTCACAGAAACTGGTGTTCCTCTATAAGTTCCAGTTATGTTATAACACAATATAAAGCAGGAAACGTGTGACACTGTCACAGAAACTGGTGTTCCTCTATAAGTTCCAGTTATGTTATAACACAATATAAAGCAGGAAACATGTGTGACACTGTCACAGAAACTGGTGTTCCTCTATAAGTTCCAGTTCTGTTATAACACAATATAAAGCAGGAAACGTGTGACACTGTCACAGAAACTGGTGTTCATCTATAAGTTCCAGTTATGAATATTGTAACATAAATGTGAGAAATAATACTGTTTTACCAGAGTTTACAACAGAAATGAATGGTTTACATCTCAATATGTTCCTTAAAATAACAGTAAATTTGAAACTACATCAGTAATACAACGATGTGATTTGTTCACACTGCTCCTAAACTGGCATGTCGGCCCCACTGAACATTGTTACAGCAGAACACTAAACATCAGGCCTGTTATAAATCATAGTATGTAGGCTTCACACATACTAAGAAAAGACACTACATTGTACATACGACAACGAATTCCCCGTGTGACACTGCTGTGTGAGTAATGTAAACACTAGGGATGTCACGATACATAAGTTTCATGAATTGATACATTACATATCACGATACCAATGTCACAATTCGATATGTATCATGATGACTATTTTCGCAGCATTATTGCGTAAATTTAGTTACATTTTGAACATTAATATTTCATATTTTATAATAGTCCATGAAAAGATCAACATTCTTGATTATCAGAGATTAAAAAGTTCTAATTTCCCATCTTTGTGCATGAGAAATTGATCATTTATAACTCTCATAACTAAAAAAATATGATACAATTGCAAAATGTAAACACTACACAAACATATTTATTAAACCGATACTTTCAAAACTAAATATCGATTTTTGAATGTATCTATAATTGCATCATCGATGCATCGATGTATCGTGGCACCTGTAGTAAACACTGTTATTGACTGCAGAGATGTCACAAGTTTTCTTGGTACAAGTCACATTTGTCCATGATACCATAAATCACCAGAGGTATAAGGATCAGTTGGTTGGTTGTTGTTTAATGATGCACTCAGCAGTGTTCAAGCTATATGGTGGCGGTCTGTGAATAATCGACTTTGGACCAGACAATCCGGTGATCAACAGCATGAGCATCGACTAATGCAACTGGGATACGATGACATGTGTCAACAAAGTCAATGAGCCTGACAACCCAATACTGTTAGTCACCCCTTTATAAGGAACAAAAACATGATGCCCACAACTAACAACTGATCATGGCGACATACAACGGATATCCTGATGGAAAGTGATAATAATATTGCTTCTCATATAGCACTTCACTTCATATTCAACATGTTCAAAGGGTGATAACATAAGTGGATCAGTATGGATATGATTCTTATGTAGGTGAACAGTCAGTTCACCGTCTGATCCTACCAGGTATCCTTTCACTCTCTCCTAATTAAACACAGACATATCTAGAATGAAGGCCCTAAGATGAAATCATGTGTACTTTAGAGTGGGTCACAACAGGAGCCTGACACACTCACAGAGGTCAAACTGCCACACACACTCGCTCATTTGTCTGTTATCTATGACCAATGTTGCTTAACTTTGTCTGATTTACGTCCTGAGTGCTGTACAGAGGAGGCTGGGGCATAAACATGACGGATATATGTCACTAAACTCTTTACACAAGTAAAGCAAATAAATTGTCATTTCCCCTGTTATTATGATTTTGTTTTCAACAACAGTATATAATATATAATAAGTGATAAATACAAAAGAGGGTGTGCTAACACCTACATCTGTACACTCGAAGGAGTATCCCCTATCTGGTAATGTAATGTTCAGCTGCGCTTTTATCAAGTAACAGTCGATATCAGCTTCTAGTATCTCAGTCAATTCTGTTCAAATTACACAGGGATCGTGTATTTCCATAATGAAAATACTTTGCTCAAATTACTCCATGTTGTGATGATTTTATATATCTAGAAAAGTATTTCTAAACTGATAATATGAAGGTTTGTTGAACATGGCTGATATCAGTTACACAATCTTAACTTTGAGCCACAATCTTACAACTTATTGATTTAATTAAGACATTACCTTCTCATAAACATATACATGAAATAACATATATCCCCACCATACATTGTTGGCAGTTACAACTGATAACTACGTAAAAAGGTTTAGAACGACTCTACTGTCATGATTACGTGGGAACTTTTGAATATTAGCATATCATTTACCATCCGTTCTCTGTAAAACAATCGAAACAGCTTCTAAAACACAACCACGGAAAGATTTTCGCCCATAACACCCGTTTTTTTTTAATTATTCTTTGCCAAAGATATATAGTAAGAACATAATGCTAAATCATCATCATAATAAACAGATTACATTTCAAGCGAGGTTACGTTACGGGCGGAACTCTTACAACATTCTCTTTGACTTTGAAGTAAAAACTAAGCAAAATTTGCAATTTAACTATGTTCCGTTTGTTGTTGTTACAAATGTAGTGCACACTGTACGGTAAGTTCGTAGGCTACTCATTTGTCTGATACCCAGCCTCCAACTTTTTTTTTGAGTTCACAGTGACACATCGGAAGCTATCGTGGGACTAGGTTTGTCCTGTTTTTAGTGATGTTCGGACGCTTGCAGTAAGCAAGTTGGACGTTCGTGACTCACGACAGTGTAAACTGATACTGTCATTGCACACCAGACACGATTCGTCTTCATTTTGAACTTGTTATCTCAACTTCTACGAATAACCCAAGACTACAAGCTCAGCTCCGCCATTTCTGTCCGATTTTCACAGGCGATCATCCCCACCCCAAAATACTAACCTTAGTTTGTCGTGCGGATCAAAATCTGCCGCCATTGCGTCATCAAGAGACAAAACTGTCAATAGTAGTCTTCACATTGATGTAAATTCTTTCCAGGAAGTTTAGATCGATAAATATGGCGACTAGTGGACGACAACTTCTGCGACAAGTTACGGCTTCCTATGGAATCCCTGCTGGGTCATACAAACGAGTTACTTCCCCTGGCGACAGGTGCTCGATGGCGCAGAGAGGTGAAGACGCGATGCGATATAATATAAACAGGTTCGGTGAGGAAGTAGTTATGGGGCCTACCCTATCACCCTAACAGCAACAGAAGTAAACACTAATCCGGTTCAATTAAATGTGGAAATCCCCTGACAGGTGTTTGTTTCACATCTCGCTAAAGTCTTATTCTTAAATGATTAAAAGGGTTCTTAATGTGCTAATGTACACCTCAAGCATCAAAATATTGTGTTTGGATTTCCAAATGACTAACACGTCGTAATTAAGTTTTTAGTCACTCGGCCATAAAGGTGGGATGGCAAACAAAAGACAGTCAATTACACCTTGGGCTGACTACTTGGGGAAATTGAACTTGTCCTGCATGAAGAAAACATCAATGATCTGCACTCACACCTCTACTGGCGTGACACAATGGACATAGTTAATCCTCAACAGTATACGTGTCACGAGAACAGTTTGTTCACATTAGAATTACAAGCAAACATTCATTCACAAATACAAATTTATCCACCCATAAAGCTCCGGGTTTTTTTGGGGTGGTTTGATATATATGCCATTATATGAACACATGTGGGTGTTTGTATAAACGCCTGCATATTTATCTTATGATATACAATTGTATGTATCTGGACATAAACACCAGTATGAGTCTGGATATTTACACATCTATTGACCACGTGTGTTTGTATGCCTGTATCTTTCAATGTGTATTGGAGAAGAGGAACGATGTTATGGATACAAGACTTCTGTATTGCCATAGATGCGACATTTCGGAGTACATGATAACACCCTTATATACCGTTATACACCTGTATATTACCACGTGACTTGGTATATATAACACCCTTATATACCGTTATACACCTGTATCTACCACGTGACTTGGTATATATAACACCCTTATATACCGTTATACACCTGTATCTACCACGTGACTTGGTATATATAACACCCTTATATACCGTTATACACCTGTATCTACCACGTGACTTGGTATATATAACACCCTTATATACCGTTATACACCTGTATATACCACGTGACTTGTATATATACACCCTTATATACCTTATATACACCTGTATATACCACGTGACTTGACTTGGTATATATAACACCCTTATATACCGTTATACACCTGTATTTACCACGTGACTTGGTATATATAACACCCTTATATACCGTTATACACCTGTATCTACCACGTGACTTGGTATATATAACACCCTTATATACCGTTATACACCTGTATCTACCACGTGACTTGGTATATATAACACCCTTATATACCGTTATACACCTGTATCTACCACGTGACTTGGTATATATATAACACACCTGTATACGTGACCGTATATAACACCCTTATATACCGTTATACCTGTATATACCACGTGACTTGGTATATATAACACCCTTATATACCGTGTATTTACACGTGACTTGTATATAACACACCGTGACTTGGTATATATAACACCCTTATATACCGTTATACACCTGTATTTACCACGTGACTTGGTATATATAACACCCTTATATACCGTTATACACCTGTATATACCACGTGACTTGGTATATATAACACCCCTTATATACCGTTATATGTATTTACCACGTGACGTATATACACCTGTATATACCACGTGACTTGGTATATATAACACCCTTATATACCGTTATACACCTGTATATACCACGTGACGTGACTATGGTATATATAACGTGACTTGGTATATAAACCTTATATACCGTTATACACCTGTATTTACCACGTGACTTGGTATATATAACACCCTTATATACCGTTATACACCTGTATATACCACGTGACTTGGTATATATAACACCCTTATATACCGTTATACACCTGTATATACCACGTGACTTGGTATATATAACACCCTTATATACCTTTATACATCTGTATTTACCACGTGACTTGGTATATATAACACGCTTATATACCGTTATACACCTGTATTTACCACATGACTTGGTATATAAACACCTGTGTGCCATCTGCTATAATATAAACAGTTCTACACCTGTTCTACACCTGTATTTACCACATGACTTGGTATATAAACACCTGTGTGCCATCTGCTATGATATATACCGTTATACACCTGTATTTACCACGTGACTTGGTATATTAACACCTGTGTGCCATCTGCTATGATATATACAGTTATACACCTGTATTTACCACATGACTTGGTATATAAACACCTGTGTGCCATCTGCTATAACGTGACCTGTATTTTGGTATAAACAAACTACACCTGTATTTACCACGTGACTTGGTATCTAAACACCCCATTATGCACATATACAGTTCCACACCGTATGCCATCTGCTATGATATATACAGTTATACACCTGTATTTACCACGTGACTTGGTATATAAACACCTGTGTGCCATCTGCTATAATATAAACAGTTCTACACCTGTATTTACCACGTGACTTGGTATATAAACACCTGTGTGCCATCTGCTATGATATAAACAGTTCTACACCTGTATTTACCACGTGACTTGGTATATAAACACCTGTGTGCCATCTGCTATGAATATAAACAGTTCTACACCTGTATTTACCACGTGACTTGGTATATAAACACCCGTGTGCCATCTGCTATGATATATACAGTTATCTACACCTGTATTTACCACGTGACTTGGTATATAAACACCTGTGTGCCATCTGCTATGATATAAACAGTTATACACCTGTATTTACCACGTGACTTGGTATATAAACACCTGTGTGCCATCTGCTATGATATATACAGTTCTACACCTGTATTTACCACGTGACTTGGTATATAAACACGTGACTTGTGTGCCATCTGCTATAATATATATAAACAGTTATACACCTGTATTTACCACGTGACTTGGTATATAAACACCATGTGTGTATAAACAGTTATACACCTGTATTTACCACATCTGCTTTAATATGATATAAACAGTTATACACCTGTATTTACCACGTGACTTGGTATATAAACACCTGTGTGCCATCTGCTATGATATAAACAGTTATACACCTGTATTTACCACGTGACTTGGTATATAAACACCCGTGTGCCATCTGCTATGATATAAACAGTTATACACCTGTATTTAGCCACGTGATTTGGTATATATAACATCTGCTATGATATAAACAGTTATACACCTGTATTTACCACGTGACTTGGTATATTTAACATCTGCTATGATATAAACTGTTATACACATGCACTGATACAGAAAACAAATAAATAGAATAAATAGTTAAACTCTTAAACTGAGAAATAATATCTGTTTCGTATGTCTTGGTATAAGCACTAATATTTGACGACGCCTTAGTAAAATAATTATAGAAGTGACACCATATCTTCAATAACACAAGTCGTTCTAGCCGGGCTACCTGCGGAATATTTCCACTTACACCTACTCGGAACATCTCCGAACACCTTTCTGCGTGAGTGGCCGCTGATTCAGTCATTACCTGTCGAACGGGACCGTCCTCCCCGTCAATCAACTCCAAGCCGCTCGCTCCATCAACACTGACGGCAGCACGGGGCGCGGACTCAACCGGTCAAGCGTATTGGAATGTCTATTACGTAATCGGTACGCACGTCTTGATATACGAGCTGTTAATACACGTAATCGGGACACAGTTAGAATCCCCTCTCTGTCAACAGATTTTAAACAATTTATTTATCTGGTTCTACTACGATTTATGCGTAACACACCATTTGGTATCCCGGGGTTGAATAGTTTGGGGTTTGAACGCATCAGAGTCGAGCCCATTATCATATGATCCTTACTCACAAAGGGGATGCAACTCTCCATTGCGTCCCAAGCCACTGGGACACCCACGTCCCCACCTTTATGTTCGAAATGGCTGCCTCCGTTTGACACGACAGGAATATCGCTTACGACGGGATATGTACAGCAGCGCCAGGTCATCCTCTACATATTCCATAGTGCAACAAAAATGCAATCCTTCACCTGAGTGAGTGAGTGAGTTTAGTTTTACACCGCTCTTAGCAACATTCCAGCTATATGGCGGTGCTCCACCTAAGACTGGTCGACGTGGTTTACCCAGTTTGTATGTTGTAAACACCCCCCATATAGGTATAGTGATCGTCGTCAGTAGATCTCTGGCTTGTTTGAACTGTAGTTCCTTCTGAACTGCAAATCCGTGGAGCAGGGTTTCCAGTGGTACCACACTTTTTGTAGCAACCTACTCTAGGTAGTTACAGTGTGTAGCGTGTCGGTGTTGTGAGTCCGAGATGACGAGGGTCGATACTCATGTTGGCACTGGTTTGACTGGTCCAGACTGACATCAGCTGCCGTGATCACCAGTATAACTGTAATAATACCAACTGCGTATGTAACTTCACTCTCTCACTCATGTATGAAATAGGTCATAATTGTGAAATTACGCCGAACCGCTGGCATCAACATCAACGACGTATTTTATACGTTTTACCTTTTTCTATACTATTCACAATTTGCTAAGGATCAAATCATTCATTCAACAGAAAACTATGATGTGGGGTCTAATTTGGTTTAAATATCTAAGCTTGTTTTAAGCATGGTTCCTAGGTTTCAATACGTCACTACATCCGGTGGATCCCATACCTGCTAGTGTAGTGTACTTGTCAATGACTCGTTCCGTGGTTGCAAAATGGTTGATTGGTGCCATGAAAACCATTTTTATGGATACTCATGTATCAAGTGCATGAGGTTAGATAAAAGTGGCTGCTTGAATAAAGAAGGGTTACCATATTATTATTTATCCAGTTTAAATTGGATACAATTTCAAATTATAAATCTATGTTTAAATAAAGTTGGGATTTTTTGTGACCCTTAGCTAAGTGTGAGTAGTATACATGTAATACTGCAAGAGGTCATATGAGTTGGACTCCAAAGAAAGACAGAAATACCTCACACGAACGTTAAAAATAATCATCAAAGCGTTTTTAGAGGTTGGATCCCTTACATACAATTAGGGATACTCTACGTCATCTGTTCTCCCTGATACAATAAACCAAACAATGAAAGCGACCTCCAGGAATTACGCCCACGACATAACGTCCAGAGTGTTTGATATATACTATTCACACTTTGCTAAGGATAAAATCGTAGATTCAACAGAAAACTAGGATGTGGGTTCAGAATGCAGTTTCAAATGGATACAATTTCAAATTAACAATCTACTTCTAAGTAAAGTTGTGAATGTTTGTGATCCTTAGCAAAGTGTGAGTAGTATATATGTGATATATCTTCAGTGCCTTAGTTTTGTACAACAGCAATAAATTCGGTGGTATGATTTTCTGAAGATATTTTGATTGTTGATACCCTAAACTAACTCGAAAGGGCCGACCAATGTGTACCGTGATAACATCTTGATGGTTCATGTCACATGTCAGTGTGAGTAAATAATCAAACGCACACGCAAAGAATGTTCATTGCGAAAACTCGAAATCATTTGGCAGAACCGTCTACCGTAGAAAAATATATCCTATGACTCATATCTATCATGAGTCAAAACATTAGATGCGATGTTTAAGATCGTGTCTATTAACTTACGTGCTAAATAAGTTGTGAATGAATATGCATTAGTTGTAAATTTATCTTTCGATGGTCATTTACTGGAACTAGCATTACACAGATGCAAAACACTTTGGTTTCAGAGTCCCGCACATGGCTGCCAAAGGAAAAATGGCGGCAACTTCTAAACCTTTTGTGTTAGTCATGCTGGCTTTGCTAATCGTACTTTTAATTGACACTTCTCAGTCAGCCAAGTTAAATGCACCAAAAGTTTTACTGCCATATTATAGTTCGGTAATCGCCAATTTTACTTTAGAAGTAGAGTTTTCCCCCGAAGAGGCACAAGGAGCCAGTTGTTACCGATGGTAAGGTTAATTGTTCTGATTTCGATCACACGAAAATGAAACTGCGTCCGTTTCACTCGCGTTTTAAATGTTAATGGTACACAGCTGCAATGTGACGTGATGAGAATATGACGACATCAGTATCATCTATGCGTCATAATAATTTAGGAATCATGTGTTTGTCCATACTTAATGATATACTATCAGTTGTACCTCAAATACTGTATATTGGCAGCTTACTTTGGCTGAAGGTTTCGTTGTCGGCACAGGTACTACAGATATGTACCCCAGGTACGTTTCTGTATACAGACATGTACCCTAAACAAAGACAAACTACAGAAACGTACCCGGTACCCTAAACGACGTACGAGTCCAAATTCCGCAACCCAAAACCGAAACCCCATGTAGTTGTTCCCGTTCAGATGATTGCGAGTGGTGTACCTTGTGCACCGTGAAATATTCGTTACTGTGTATGCTCTTATATAACGCAATCAAATGCATCTAATACAACAGTATGACATGCAGTTCCGATCAAGAAAACTCCACAATGCAGAATGGAATCGTACAAGTCATGTCTGTTTCTCTATTCTGATTTTGGCTAGGGTACATTTCTGTATACAGAAACGTACCTGGGGTACACATCTGTAGTACCCGTGACGACAACGACCCCTTCAGCCTTACTTTGGATGCTTCAACGCACCACCAAAGTCTCCCATTTTCTAAATATGATATCTCATTTGTAACAGCTTGAACAATTTATGTTTTGTTTGTTTATTGATGAACACCACCAACGTTTATTGATGAACACCACCAACAGCAATATTCCAGTTTTACCCCCTGTCTGTAAATAATGGAGGCTGGACCAGATAATTCAGTGATCAGCCGCATGTGCATCATTCTGCGCAATTGGGACATGATGACGTGTCAGATTAATTGTAAGCTGGTACCAGTTCTTGTTTTAAGTTTACATGTTAAGGAGATTCCTTCTAGTCCAATATGCCATATATTTGTGGTATTAACATGATTATGGAAAGAAATTAATCAAGAACATCAACTAGCCAGAGTAAGAATAATGTAGCTTTACCTTGAAAAATGTTTAAAATTATTTTTTTATTCCTTTAACACTATCATAAGCGACAATGACAGTTTCAGGCTTGTTGACTGAGATGATTTTGTGAAGAATACTAACATTGCAGTTACTATTTCCTGCTGTGTTGTGTTGTTGCTATGTTACTATCAGGTACATAATGTCAACTGGCAATGTGTAGACATGTCATCATATTGATCATTGTTCATGTATCAGTTTCCTTTCAATATTGATGTTGTATCTACAAAGTTTATGCCTATTATAATAACATTTTGATGTTGGAAATTGGAAGACAAAAGTACAAATCTGAATATTTAATGGATATTCCATGAAGGCCTGGTTCATCTTTAAGATTACATTGATTAATTGCATTTGATCAGAGGCCATTTATAGCTATAGACATACAGAATATGTCTTTCATTACTTGATATAAGGGTGCTGTCTGATCATCAACACCTCCAGCAAAATGTAGGGTGAGCCCAATTGGTCCAGAGATCATTTGGACATGTAGTGTGTTGAAGTTTTCATATTGTAGGATAGAACACATGGTCCTATCATACTTTCATCAATCAGCACAAAATGACTTTTGTGTATAAACCAGAGTTCTCATGGTAAACCTGTATTTTCATGAGTTTGTGATTCCAACTTGCATATATATCTGAAGATAAATGGGATTAATGTGCAATACAGGAAAGTGACAATGTCAAAAGTAATGAGCATTTGTATTGTTTTCAGGCGTTCAACAAGACAAGAAGTTGCCCAGATTCAGCTCCTCAACAGCACAGATGGAGAATGTTCCAACAAAGCCCTGGTGTCAGCCACATCGAAAACATCCCACCAGATGACAACAGTGGTCCTCGCTGAAAACAAAGGTACATTTACCATGCTCACTCTGAATATGTAGTCGCTCTTATGTGAAGAACTGTACAAGGTGTTTTCAAAAGCTATTTATCTGGTAGGAATTTGAGGGAAACATTGTCATTTTGGTCATCAGCGTTCTGATTTTTGTTGTTACATTCAGAAATATTCCAGCTGTAGTTGGTAAAGAGTCAAGTCTGGACGAGATGATCCAGTGTTTGATGTCATGAATATGTTTGTACCTGTGGACTGCTGAATCTTTTGTTTTTAGAATGAGGATTATGATGACAACTGCTAAACTTTCATGCTTCATTTTGAACACTGGTATGTCAGTGCACCTTGACTATGGTCAGGGAATTTTGGAGTATATTTCAATACATGTAGAAAATTATGCCAAAACTGCAATTTTAACATGTGTGAAACTATAAGATGTTAGAAGTAACATGTTTTATATTTGGGATTACACTTTCTCAGTAAAGTACAGATTCTAGTACTTTTTCAGGGGTTGGGTCCCATCCGGGATTCGAACCTGACTCTGAGGGTGTGGGTTTGAATCCCGGATGGGACTCAACCTCCAAAAAAAGTACTAGAATCTGTACTTTACTGAGAAAGTGTAATCCCAAATATAACATATGTTACATTTGACCACTTTCTAAAATGGCATTGTGTATTTCAAAGGTGTTCGAAGCTAAGTCTTTGTATTAATGATCCGAGCTATTGTGTTTCTTAAATGTTGCCACAGAAATCCGATCTGATTTTAAACATGATCATTGAGATGATAATGAATATGTCATCTGTAACCATGACAACCATTTCTGCACACATCATTATGAAAAGGGTTTTTTCCCTATGAAAAGTTAAATAGTACATTAGCATGATTAGAAAAGAAGTTTTGCAGTTTGAATGAGAGAAGACCACACTGGAAGCTTCCTGAATGTTCCTGATTCTGTGTTCTGTAGAGTTCTGTTGGTTCTGGGGTTCTGTGTTTAGCTGTCTGTTGCTGTGTGATCAGTTGTTAGTAGGCTACTGTTACCATGGCTACTGTTACCATGGCAACTAGTATCTGGCAGCTGGAATCCACCTGTCTGCCATGTTGCATTATGCAACAAAGAAACTTGGTGAAGTGACACTTTAAAACAAAGCTGCAGTTGAAGACTTTAAATATATTTTGTTTTGTTGCAGTGGTTTGACCAAACCAGTACTTCAAGCATTGTCTGTTTACTTCTCGGGTAGAGCAAACAGTACAAATATTTGAATTGGATATTTCAAAAGTATGTAATGATTTTTCAGAAATGTGTTGAAACAAATAAGATAAGCCGCCATAAATATGGCAAATACACACATTTTTCTCCATTCTTAAAAGATCTATTATATACTCTGTTGGCTCCCCAGAGCAAGGCCTTGAACCAAACTCAGTTCAGGAGAGGAACATGGTCTTTGGGGTTTTTTTCTACAAACATTTTGAAAAACCAGTGATCTTCTTAGTGTTCAGCATTTAGCTGTTCAGATTATGATGAGGGCCCCTTGATATAATTTCAGATGTTGCTCTTTATCAATTCAACCGTTACACTTTGGAGATGCCCCCCAAAGTAGACTTCCTGTCATTTATGGATTATTCATGGCTATAACTTGGCTTTCTTTCTCCACTGTTTGATGAATGTCATACTGTCCGTGCTTCAGTGCCCTGTTCCCTCCCTCCCCTACCTAAATTTGTAACAATGACAAGGGGTGAGGGGAGTGATATATTTCCCCCTGAAGTGTAGATATGTAATGAGGTTTTCAAGATGGTAGTGACTCGTGAGTAAAACATCCCTACCACTGAGATCCCTGTCTGTGAGTCCTGTGGGCCGTTTGTAATGAAATATGAAGCGTCGTTGTCAGGTGTGTAATACCTGTGTTCCCTTCTTCGTTGAAAAGTCCAGGAAAAGGAACCTGACCAAATCATTAGTGACGCTTGGGTGATTAAGTCCATTGCAAGTTATAGAGGGTTGTATTTGTTTTTTAAACAAAATTATCAATAAGTATAAAAACTCCAGGGTGGGTTTGGATGGGGAAGGGTGGAGCTGGGTAGGGCATGAGTTTGGGCATGAGTTTGGATGGGGCAGGGTGGAGCTGGGTAGGGCAAGAGTTTGGATGGGGCAGGGTGGAGCTGGGTAGGGCATAAGTTTGGATGGGGCAGGGTGGAGCTGGGCGGGGCAGGGATTTGGATGGGGCAGGGTGGAGCTGGGTAGGGCATAAGTTTGGATGGGGCAGGGTGGAGCTGGGCGGGGCAGGGATTTGGATGGGGCAGGGTGGAGCTGGGTAGGGCATAAGTTTGGATGGGGCAGGGTGGAGCTGGCGGGGGCAGGGATTTGGATGGGGCAGGGTGGAGCTTTAGGGGAAGTTTGGATGGGGCAGGGTGGAGCTGAGCGGGCAGGGTGGAGGCGGGGAGGGATTTGGATGGGGCAGGGTGGAGCTGAGCCGGGCAGGGATTTGGATGGGGCAGGGTGAGCAGGTTTGGATGGGGGGGCAGGGTGGAGCTGAGCCGGGCAGGGATTTGGATGGGGCAGGGTGGAGCTGAATGGGGCATGAGTTTGGATGGGGCAGGATGGAGCTGGTTGGGGCATGAGTTTGGATGGGGCAGGGTAGAGCTGAGCGGGGGCAGGGATTTGGATGGGGCAGGGTGGAGCGGTTGGGGCATGAGTTTGGATGGGGCAGGGTGGAGTTGGCGGGGCAGGGATTTGGATGGGGCAGGGTGGAGCTGAATGGGGCATGAGTTTGGATGGGGCAGGATGGAGCTGGTTGGGGCATGAGTTTGGATGGGGCAGGGTAGAGCTGAGCGGGGCAGGGATTTGGATGGGGCAGGGTGGAGCCGGTTGGGGCATGAGTTTGGATGGGGCAGGGTGGAGCTGGGTAGGGCATAAGTTTGGATGGGGCAGGGTGGAGCTGGGTAGGGCATGCGTTTGGATGGGGCAGGGTGGAGCTGAGCGGGGCATGCGTTTGGATGGAGCTGGTTGGGGCATGGGTTTGGATGGGGCAGGGTGGAGCTGGTTTGGGCATGACTTTGGATCGGGTGGGGGGGAATGAGTTTGGATGGGGCTTGGGGCAGGGTGGAGCTGGGTAGGGCATGACTTTGGATCGGGTAGGGGGGAATGAGTTTGGATGGGGCTTGGAGTCATGGGTTAGTATGGGGCAGATTTGTGATCACCAGCCTTGGTCTATGAATATCAGTTGTGCTCCATCAATACCTGTGTTGGTTTGTGATCACCAGTCTTGGTCTATGGATACTGGTTGTGCTCCATCAATACTTGTGTTGGTTTGTGATCACCAGCCTTGGTCTGTGAATATCAGTTGTGCTCCATCAATACCTGTGTTGGTTTGTGAATATCTCACCAGTTGGCTCCATCAATACCTGTGTTGGTTTGTGATCACCAGTCTTGGTCTATGGATACTGGTTGTGCTCCATCAATACCTGTGTTGGTTTGTGATCACCAGTCTTGGTCTATGGATACAGGTTGTGCTCTATCAATACCTGTGTTGGTTTGTGTGGCATATTCCCCAGGATTGTTGCTGATAATGTCAGTCACCAGATCGTCTGGTCCATACTGTACAGGGTGCCATGTAATAGCAGGAACATCCACTGTTGAACTGCCATACTAATGCTTCTCTTGATGGTTTCAGTGACTGGTGAAATCCTGCGATGCAATGTTATTGTGAGTGAAATCACGAAACTTGTGATTGACACGACGACCCGACTGCTGTACCTAGAAGACTCTCCAGAAGAGCTGGTTGCCCGTGGTTATGACAGTGAAGGTGAGTCCGACACTTTGTTATCTGCACCAACAATCTATCTGTCTATCTATTCTAGTTTCAGATGTTAACAATGTGATGATGTATCAAGCTTGAATTGTGTCAGTGATTCAGCACTATTGTGTTTCCTTTATTCCCAACAGGACCCCCATGTTTGTGTATTTATTATTTGAAGTGTGCTTACCTTCTGGTAGCCTGTACGTGAAATCATGGTCATGAAGTCACATTATGAGATTGCAATATTTTTTCATTTTCCCTACTTTTTCCAGGCAATATTTTCTCCAGCCTGGAGGGGCTGTCTTTTGAGTGGAGCCTGGTTTCCGACACTGAGACTGGACATGATGTCGTCGACGCCCACAATATACTCCGGTAATCATGGGGTTTGGTTCATATAACTAGATAAGAAAGACCTTGAGTGATTTCCTGTTTTGAATAGGGCCACAGCACCTGATGCTGGTCATCACACCCGACAGAATTGTTAACAATTTAAATCACTGCAAGGTCAAGGCCAGACTCAATTTCTCGATTATTTGCAAACCTTCGTCATACAGCTGGAATATTTCGACATTGTGATGTAATCCAAGAAGTGTTTTTTTCCATGTGTATTTCTTCAGAGCTTAATGATAACAATACTATGTGACGTCAGTCATTATGATGACCCAAGTAAGTCTCATTGAGTAGCACTTTTGATTGGTCTATATTGCAGATTGTTACATTAAGTGTCAAAGATAGTAGTGATGGGTGACACAAGGCGTCATGTTATCGTCTGTGTGCACCCTTGAAGGTTTCCACATAGGTAAAAATCTGAGCACCTACAGTGTGAAATTCATTTGATATAACTGAAACACTTCTCATTAAACCCTCAGTGTAAGGTAACAGAAAGGTCATCTACATTGTGTTCCATGCCATGTACAAGGTTTAATATCACCTGATGTTATAATCAGAATCAAGATGTATGCAGACTCACACTACACAACTCCCCAGCACATTGCTCCTCTTGAAGACCGCGGCCTGCAAGGAGATCGGATCCTGGCCGAGGGCATCCGCACAGGAAGTGCCAAGATTAGTATGAAACTCAAAGACCCAGTCTATAAGGTAGGACACTGGGCACAGAATTGCCTCCCTTTGTGACTGCAGGATAGACTGATTGGTTTGAGTGAGTGAGTGAGTGAGTGAGTGAGTGAGCGAGCATGGTTTTACGCCGCTTTTGTAGTAATATTCCAGCAATATCACGGCGGGGGACACCACAAATGTACTTGAGATTGGTTTGAAGGACAGGTTTTGATCCTGGATCTGTGGTGGAGACAGTGATTACTTGGGAATGTTTGGGCAGAGAGTTACCCCCCTTTTACTGCTACAATGTAGACTTGTAGTTTCAAGAGAAGTTTTGATCGTGGATCTAGTTCCTATAATGCATAGGATTGTGCAACCAGCAGCTATTTCAGTTTTGTTCCCATGAAATAACTTGAAGGAAATGTTTATAGCCTATCCAGCCATTCCCTGAGTGGCAGTGATGATTACACTGTGTAATAATGTCTTGTATACACCGGGGCTGGGAAGAGATAATATTACCTGTTACTCCCACCGGATTCAGCATTATGTCTGTTAAATCTATTTCCATTGTTGCATACAGACACTGCTATTTTCTCTGTTCTTGTTTTGTCCATGCTGTTCAGCTGATTTCACCCATATAAATCCTAACGTTAACCATCCTCTCATTCTCCAGCACATCGAGGCCATCGATGTTCGGATCATGGTGATCGCCAACCTAATGCTCAGTCCTCCAGACGCCTACGTGCTGAAGTTTGCCACCATCAAGTATATTGTTGAACTGCTGAAACACAACACCCTCACAAGTAGGTTCTACCAACCCCTGTAACACATGATCAACTGTCACCTGCAACACACATTCAACTAACCCCTGCTACACATTTTACCCCTGACCAGGGGCGGTGGGGTAGCCTAGTAGTTAAAGCGTTCGGTCGTCACGCCAAAGAGCCGGGTTTGATTCCCCACATGGGTACAATGAGTGAAGCCCATTTCTGGTGTCCACTGCCGTGATATTGCTGGAATATTGCTAAAAGCGGCGTAAAACCAAACTCAGTCAATCAGTTTATCCCCTGGCCTCATATTCAACTAATCCATGTTACATATTCAACTAATGGCTGCCACGCGTTGCAGAGATCAAGATGCCCTCACCCCAGTACTACCTGGAGATGAAGGATGATGACATCTGCAGCTTGGACACAGCAACCTCCGTTGCCACGGCACTGGAGATGGGTTCCACAAACATCGTCCTCAAGGACAGGAGTATCCTTCACACATCTGCAGGCTGACTGCCAGCCCATCTGATAAAACACACCATTGTGTAGTTGACAATACAGTTTTGTATTGAGGTGGGGCAGGTCCCTGTGAAAGACAAGAGCAGGGCCTATATGTTTGTAGTTCGTTTTACTTGAGCAAGGTGAAGATATCTGCATTGTTTACAGTGTCTGTCAGTTTTATTCAGTTCTAGTCTATGTGAAACATTGAGAACTGGTTCGGGTTACAGCCACCGAATGCTGTGAGTCATTATCGGCTATGGTGGTGGAGTTGTTCACTTGTTCTCAACTCAGTGATCTGGAGTCAGCAGACTAGTGTGAACTAGAAGGCTGGTCCAACTGGTCGGTATGCATTGAGAATGTATTAGATAAGCTGATGTATTGTTTGTTGAAGACCCATAAACCCTAGGGTGACATGGTATCTGGAGTGCCCATGGTGTCTTTCAGATATTTTTTATCCCCCGCAATGCGTTTTCCGGGGGTTATTAAAATGGACTCCGATCCGTCCGTCCGTGCACATTTGTCTTTTCCGGAGCAGAACTCTAAAACCGTTCAATATTTCTTCAACAAACTTGGCACATACATGGATCTGGTGGTGTACTTGTGCCTTTTGGTAGTTTTGGAATTCTGAATAAAATATTTTTGGCGTTTCCATGGCAACAAGTTCGACTTTGACTGAAATTGGTGGAAGTGCTCTTTTCCGGAGCAGAACTCTAAAACCATTCACTATTTCTTCACCAAACTTGGCACATAGATAGATCTGGGGGTGTACTTGTGCCTTTTGGTAGTTTTGGAATTCTGAATAAAATATTTTTGGCATTTCCATGGCAACAAGTTTGACTTAGCCTGAAATTGTGGCAGTGCTCTTTTCAGGAGCAGAACTCTAAAAACCTTTCAATACTCTCCTTCCACTTTTCTATATACACACCTAAATATTTGACATAATCATAACTCGTAGACATAATCATGAAGAGTATTTTGCCATTGCGGGGGATATTGATGACTTTGTCTTCTTGTTTTTTATGATATCAAGCTGAATTAAGTGCACTTCCTTGTCAGACTTTGGAATAGTTCTCCATGAAGTGTTGGAAATGACCTTGACATACCTCAGATATTCTTGTGACCGAGTTTTTCCGACAACCGTCAGCTGTGATCCATGTTGTTAACCCAGGATACCTCGGTAAGATTTTATTTAATGGACAACCAATAATATATTCTTTCTATTCGTTTACATCTATTTAAACTAGGTCTAGAAAGGCATAGTAATTCACTTGAAGCATTAGTAATAAAGAACTGTGTTTGTCTGGGATGGTGCTCCCATCGCCTGATGACTGTATTGAGATAAAAAGGTTTCAGTTGTTAGTGGGGTTTAGTGATGCTGAGGTGTGTGAAGTATCTCCATGATTTCCTTCGCAGCGTTTGTTGTCCTGCCAACCAAGAAGTGGGTTCTTGAAACCGGCCGGGAATACGACATCTTCATCGAGGTTTACGACAAGGACAGTCACAAGATATATCCCTCTGATGTAAGTCTGCCAAATTACCTCTCTTGTCTGATCTGTGGTGGCTGCCCCCTGTGACATGTTCTTCCCTGCTTATACAATATATATGGAGATCTTTACCGTAATGAAGAGCAGTGTCAGTGTGGTGTGTTTTGTCTCACTCATGTTTTGGGGAGCTCGGTGCCGATACATAAAGTAGCCTTAGCACTCTCTTAAGTCTGTGTTAAGATGTGGGATTCTTTTTCAGAAGAACTCCTCCTTGGGGTACATGTAAACATTAAAATGTCCATTTTAAAATACCTACGACAGTTGTAACAATATTTCAATAAATTATTATTTTTCCTAATCCTGATTCATGATCTTTTGCTTATCTCCCTTTCCCCTTCGATTGGTAGTGGAACACTTGAATCCCTTGAAGTTCCCGAAGCAGACGTATAAATACACTCACCCACGAGTTACCTCCCTTGCCCTTTCCTGCACAAACATATCATGTGACCAGCCTTACTTGTCACTCTCTCCCTTTTCGCCCGAGCGGATGGTTGGGCGAGCACTGGAGTCCCGTATATGGCATCATATCCTTTTTATTTAGGCCTATTCTTCAAAATTACGTTGTATATGGATTTGGCTATAACTACTATGTAGTATTTGTAAAAAATTGTATAAATTTATTGACTTTGAGTCGTATTTTCATCGTCATGTAACATTGTTTACATTTCATGAAATCCTGCAGTGTTTGCAGGCACAGGTTATTAGTGGCTGATCCTCACCCCAGTGTCCTTCGTGTATAAATCCACGTTCCTCAGGCTTGTGCTGTACTCATTGTATTCATTTATCTAATCTACAATTTAATCAATATTTGTCTTATGTTTATAGACGTGCCATGGATCGGGTGAGAAAGTCCACGTATATGGCATTATATCCTTTTATATTTAGGTCCTATTCTTCAAAATTACAATGTATATGGATTTGATTATAACTACTTATGTAGTATTTGAAAAATTAATTACTTTTGAGTTGTGTTTTCATTGTTATGTAACTTTGTTTACATTTTATGAAATCTGGCAGTGTTTGCAGGCACAGGTTATCAGTGGCTGATCCTCACCCCCAGTGTCCTTCATGCATAAATCCATGTTCCTCCAGCTTGCGCTGTACTTATTATATTGATTTATCAATTTAATCAATATTGTCTTATAAATATAGACGTGCCATGGATCGGGTGAGAAAGTCATCTCAAGTCACGATTGATAAAACTGCAGATCAGCCTTCAAACGATGTTCAGCCCGATGTTCATAATACAGGTGTTATGTTTAGTACGTTACAGGGGCAGTCTGCTGGTAAGGGGGCCAGGAAGAGATCGTCTACATCTCAGTCGACTCCGTCTCAGACTAAGAAAAAGACGTCGTCCTCTTCTACAACGTGGAAGAAGTCTACGGTTACCAGATCGGAGGGCTAAGCTAGACGTTTTTGACGAACCCCCAATACTTCTACCTGAAGTATCTATGAGATCAGCGACGCAGTCGACCTCTACTACTACGAGATCGTCCCCTACTGCAGTCACAGCAGGAAGCTGTTGACATACTACCTCTTACTTCTCGGATTGAAGTTGAGGCACATAACCCATCAGCGTCCGTGAACGCTTCTAGTACACCGCGGCAGCGTCAACCTATGCAGAGATGATGGAATGTAGATTCCAGGAGGAATCGAAGGCTAGGAAAAGCCTCTCATCTACCGACACCGTGCGCAAACCCCAGGCCTGCGCGAATCTACTCCTATTAGATCTACACCTCAAGGCTACGTTCGCGAAGGTCTCCACAGTTGGACGACTCTGTAATCTTGGAGGATAGAAGAGATGATGCACATACTTTTAAATCTACGTTCGCGAACCCTCAGCGTTCGCGAACATCGAGGGATCCTGCTCCTATACCTAGCCGCTCTAGGTCGAGACCTTTATCTCGCACAGATGTTCACGAAGCTACTCACCTCAAGCCAGACGTTCGCAAAGGGATAGCTCGCCTCACAGAGGTTCGCGAAGAGATGTATCCACAGAGAGAGGTTCGCAGACAGAACACTCTCAAGATAGACATTCGCACAGGGAGGAATCCTCAGTTACAGGTTCGCGAACCCAGGATGAAGGATCGCGAAGGGATAGAGGTTCGCACAGGGATGAATCATTGAGACATAGCTCTAATAATCAGGAGACTTCGGACATAGTAACGGATGGATGGATTGCTAACGGATTGAACTTGGAGTCTCCTTCTAAGGATAAAGATGAAGTCTACATTTATATGATGCGTAACGATGACTTCGACTCCGTCACAATCCCTCCGATTGAACCTTTATCCAAGGTACCTTCGAACCTACGCACAGCTTTGAGAAAGCCACAGACGTCTACAAGGTTCGAGAGCTCTCAGATCTACAGGCAGATAACAGCAACATAGACATCCACAGGGTTCGCGAACCCTAGGGTTAACGAACCCTTACATCAACAGGCAGGATGTTGACGTCGACTCTATTACCATACGGTTGAATAAACAAAGCAATGATGAAGACGGATGAGGTCTTATACTGGGTAGCAGATGGCATGTGGATATTGTCGTTCACTCACTCACTCCAACCCAACAGAGACGTACTGCATATACGCTGATGACTTCTACTCCAATATGATATCACTTATGAAGCCGATATCTTAAGTACTGGAGAACCTTAAGACGACCTTTGGAAAGGGCTTAAGGTTAACATCGCCTTCAAGTATACTTGAACTGACGTACAGATGATTGTATCAACACTCGTCACTCAGAGTGGGGATTAGGAATTATATCCTCTCGACAGCCTCCTTCGTCATGCTCGGAATAAGTGATTCATATCACTAAACAAGATTTACACTTGGAGCAACCCTTAGTCAGGAGACTTATATGAGCGGCGTAGGATCACACGAGCTCTTACTCACAGATTTTATGGAGGCCAACTTGCTACAACACTGGTGACGTCATGCTTGAAGCTGATTGGTCCACATCAGACAACGCCTCCCACTGACAGAGCAGGCTCCAGCATGTTTTCTCATTGTAAACAAACCTGTGGTACGGGGGAATACTTCATCGGCAGCCTTGGAAACAGTATACAACTACGGCCTGTTATCATCATGGAAATCTAATAAATGTCTAGCCTTGACAGCAGGATAAACAATGTTTATTATCGAAGTTGTCGCTGATAGAAGTCGGTATGAGTACCTGTCCCCTACGATGCTACATGGAAGCCAGCCTTGCTATAAATAGACAACGCTTTGATGTCAACACAGATCGCCTGCGTATATAAGGGGAAGAATGATGTATCATCACTGCAATCAGAGGTTAGCACTACCAATGGAACGTCCTATCGTTTGGAATATCGTAGGCTCTATGATTATTCATACGAATAACCAAGCCTATCGGAACCTATTTACAACATCGAGATCTACGCAGTGCCGGTTATCCGGAGGACGGCATACAGGTTCTTTAAAGTACCAATCAACTCAGAAAGCAGATGAACTTCTCAATTAAGTTGCTCACGCAACTAGGATGGCTAGTGAACCTGATGGAAATTGGAGTTAGAATCAATCAAGATCTTCAGTTGCTGGGAATAAGAATTATCACAATACAGGATTGAATTGTGATCCCAGAAGATCATTGGGTCAAGATATAAGCCATGATTCAACAAGCAGTCATCTCTCCGTTAACACTACGAACGTGGCAAGTGCTACTCGGTATGCTAACCTCGGCGCAGGACTTGACGCACACAGGAAGGTTACAACTAAGATTGCTGCAACGGTTCCTGATAAAACATCTAGACAGCGTCGACCCTATCTTGCTGCCGGAAAACCTCAAGGGGTATCTACTGTGGTGGACACACAGGTCGAACGTTTGCGAAGGGACCTATTTACAAGAGCCGGCCTTCGACACTCACCTTTACGCAGATGCCTCAATGCAAGGATGGGGTGCGCATCTCAACGCTAAAGTGGCGTCGGGAAAGTGGTCCAAAACGGAACAACAGCTTCACATCAATCTGCTAGAGATGAAAGCAGTGATCAACGCCTTACAACTATGGTCGAGCTTGCTGAACAACAAGATGCTGATGATCCACACGGACAGCTCCACAGTGGCGTTCTCCATAAACCGGCAAGGATCCACAAGGTCTCCAAGCCTATAGCAGCTCACATTCCAGTTGTTCCAGATCACGCAGGAAGCAAACGTCTTGATAAAGGCGTGTCACATACCCGGAGCCAAGAACGTACTGGCAGACGCTCTCTCAAGACCACTACACCCGTCACCTACGGAATGGATGCTCCATCCAGAAGCGTTTCGGAACATAAGGGAGATAGGATCCCCTTGCATAGACCTGTTGGCCACGAGGTTCAACAAACAACTACAGACATTTGTCTCACCAGTTCCAGATCCTCAAGCCTGGGCAACAGATGCACTGAGCATGTCGTGGGAAGGATTAAACGGCTACGCTTTTCCAGCCCCGATACTACTGCCAAAAGTACTGTTCAAGATCAAACAGACTCAGATACTACAACTGACTTTGGTCGCGCCCTACTGGCCAGCGAGAGCATGGTTCCCAGACCTAATAGAAGATCTCGGAAACCCAGTAATCAAATTACCAGATTGGCCGAACCTACTAATGCATCCGCACACCAAGCAAGTCCACAGAAACCCAACAGTGTTCCAGTTACACGTGTGGACCGTATCAAAACGTGCTTGAAGAAAAGAGGATACTCCGCCAGGGCAGCCAAAGCAGTAACGCTAGCGTTACGCAGATCGACTCGTAACCTATACGACGACAAATGGCTGAAGTTTGAGACTTATGCAAGGCGGAAAGGCTTCACAGCGATGATAGCCACTCATCCTCAAGTGGCGGAATATCTGTGTCATCTTAGACAGACCAGACATCTGAAGGGTTCGACACTATGTACATACCTCGCTGCAATCAGTACAGTGATTACCATGAAAACAGGCATCAAGTTGACGAAAGTACCAGAATTACTTGCT